TATGGACAGCCGTACCGTGTTACCTTAGAGCTTGAGCTGCCAGAGTCCCCTGTGAATCAAGATTTGGGCATGTTCTTGGTCACCATTTCATGCTACACCCGAGGTGGACGAATCATCTCCACTTCATCACGCTCCGTAAGTGTTCGTGGCCTGTGTGGCAGGGTGTGAAGAGGAATGACAGATGTTAGACTATCTGGGTATGCCTTCAAGAGAAAACATCCTAGCCCTGAGGTCACAGACACATCAGGGTAGGGAAGGGGAGTCAGTTTACCAAGTCAGACAAACAGCCCTAGATATCTGGTGGCTTTGTCCAGATATTTTATCCAGCTGTGGGATAAAATCTGAACAGTGGAACTACTCTGAATATGAGCATCTTTGGAATCAGACAGACCCGGGCTCAAATCCTCCCTCAGAAATATACTGACCGAAGGGCAACTTACTTAACACCATCGGTTATAAAGTATTATAAACCACATAATGGTAACTCCTCATAGTGACACTAGTTTGGATTCAGTGAAAACATGTAAAGTGCTTATTAGCACTCAGCAGGTGTTCAATGAATGTTTGACTCTGTTTTAATTGTCAACAGAACCACATCGTGAAGCAAGTCCCTAAATGGAGAACAGAGCTTCAGATGGTGCACTGGGACTTAATCTATTCTGGATTATAGAACTACTTGGGGGAAAGGTAGATCAGAGACAGTGTTAGGCTGAACCTAGGAAGGTTTCTTAGGAAAGGGGCCTTTGTTGTCCTGGAACAGAGACATATGGTTGGGTGGGGCTGGGCAGGGCTGTCACTCAAGCATTTGGAATGATTGGGTGGGGGGGCAGGCATGTGGTAGAAGGTGAAAGTGAGGGAGCAGGGGTCCTGGGGGAGAAGCAGTCTCCATAGACTGCTCGGGGCTTACTGAGGGGTGGGTAGGCCCACAAGAACCTGGGGCTGCCTGACCACAGCATCTCCCTCTGGCCCTGGCAGGTGATGCTGCATTACCGCTCAGACCTGCTCCAGATGCTTGACACGCTGGTCTTCTCTAGCCTGCTGCTGTTTGGCTTTGCTGAGCAGAAGCAGCTCCTGGAGGTGGAGCTGTACCCAGAATACAGAGAAAACTCGGTAAGGGGCGTGGAGGAAAACTGGGAGATGGCCCTCCCCCCACAAGCCCAGAATTCTACCTGCGGCACCTCTGGGCTTGGTCAGGAGGGACGGCGACCAAGAGGCTGGAAGTGGGTCTAAAGCTGACAGCAGCTGGATCCTAGGCTGATGCAGCTACCACTACTCCATCCCAACCCCGCAGTATGTGCCGACCACCGGAGCTCTTATCGAGGTCCACAGCAAGCGCATCCAGCTGTACGGAGCCTACCTCCGCATCCATGCCCACTTCTCTGGGCTCAGGTGAGCAGCCGCTGAGGTGCGCCTCGGAGGCTCATGGGCTGCCCTTAACGGAGAGGGTCCTAAGCAAAGGTAACAGGTTTACACGGGCCACAGGTTTTCAACCCTGACTGCACATATCAGTTCCCTGGAGAACTTTTTCTTCTTTTTTCTTTGAGGTAACGTCCAACATTTCAAGTGTCCAACATTCAACATTATAATTCAACAACTGTATATACCACAGCATGCTCACCACTAAAAGTCTATTTTCCATCCATACCATACAATTGACCCCCTTTCCCCATCTTGCCCTCCCTCCACCCCCTTTTCTGAACTCCGGTAACCAGCAATCTATTGACCGCCTCTATGAGTTTGCCTTTGTTTCATTTGTTTGTTTCCTGGGGAACTTTTTTTTGGGGGGGGGTATGTGCCCCTAGCGGGAACCGAACCTGGGACTCTCTGGTCCGCAGGCCGATGCTCCAACCACTGAGCCAAACCGGCCAGGGCTTCTGGGGAACTTTTTAAAAATACCAATGCCTGTGCCACCTTACCAGACCAACTGAACCAAAATCTGTTAGGCTCACATCTGGCCATCAGATTTTTAAAAGTAATTATGTTTTATTATTTTATTTTTATTATTTTTTAAATGTTTTTATTGACTTTTTAGAGAGAGAGGAAGGGAGAGAGAGATAGAAACATAGATGTGAGAGAGAAACATCCATTGGCTGCCTCCCTGCTGGGGATGGAGCCTGCAACGGGGTATGTGCCTTCATGGGGAATCGAAGCGGCACCTCTCAGTTCACGGGACAGTGCTCAATCCACTGAGCAGCACAGGCCAGGCTATTTTTTTTTTTTAATCCTCACCTGAGGAGATTGTTTTTGTTTTGTTTTAGATAGAGTAGAAAGGAGGGAGGGAGAGAGAGAGAGAAACAACCAATGTGAGACAGACACATCAATTGATTGCCTCCCGCATGACTGGTACCTGCAATCCAAGTATGTGCCCTTGACCAGGAATTGAACCCTCGACCCTTCGGTCCAAGGTCTAACAGGCACTGTCACTGCTGAGCCACACCAGCCAGGGCCCTCAGACTTTTTGAAAGCATCCTGGGAAATGCTGATGTGCAGCCGGAGTTGAGAACTGCTGCCTTCTGGGAAGGCTGGTGCCCGTAACTACTACCTTCCTGTCCCTACTTCCTGTCTCAGGTACCTGCTGTACAACTTCCCCCTGACCTGCGCCTTCATAGGTGTCGCCAGCAACTTCACCTTCCTCAGCGTCATCGTGCTCTTCAGCTACATGCAGTGGGTGTGGGGAGGCATCTGGCCCCAACACCGCTTCGCTTTGCAGGTCGCAACGGAACCCCTTTCCTCTCCCCTTCGTGATCCTTCTTTGACTGGGGAGTGGGCCAGGGCATGTTGGGGGCCTGGGCGTAAAGGCCCTGATCACTGTGGAGGGAAGTCAGTCCTTGCTGCTGAGTAGCTTCTCCTCCGCAGGTAAACAGCCGAAAAAGAGACGGTTCCCGAAAGGAGGCCCAGGGAAGGATCTCTGCCCGTCAGCTAGGTAAAGGTGATGGTTGGGGCTGGGTGACGGGGTTCCCGCTCCATCCAATACGAGGCTTAAGACTCTCTCTCACATACTGGGCAGAGGGTCAAAGGAGAGGCACTGCTATCCAGGCACAGCCACCCTGACCCTGCCCTGCCTTCTGTCCCAAGGCCAGGAGGAGCCAACCCATCTGTCGGACATTATGGAGGATGGCGAGAGCCCTGAAGATCCCTCAAGAACAGGTATGGTGCAGCAGCCATCCTTTATCCCTCTGCCCTGACTCCTCTGAGCCCTCCCCTTCAGCTTCCATTCTGACCTCTGCATTCTCCCTGTGGCTGCAGAGGGCCAGCTCTCTGAGGAGGAAAAGCCAGATCAGCAGCCCTTGAGTGGAGAGGAAGAGCTAGAGCCTGAGGCCAGTGATGGTGAGGGACACCCTGCATAGGGTCCAGGGTGGGTGGGGTGGCATGTGGGTAGGGACCCTGGTTATCTAATGTCCCATTTGGAATTTTGTTTTTCCTCTTCTGGCCCAGGTTCAGGCTCCTGGGAAGATGCAGCTCTGCTGACTGAGGCCAACCTGCCTGCTCCTGCCCCTGCCCTGGCCCCCGAGACTCTGGGCAGCTCTGAACCCTCTGTGGGCTCTCACCGGGAGCGCCCCACCTGCTCTAGCTCATGAAGAGAACAGGGCAGTCCCACACACCAGAGGTCCCACACTCCAGCCTTTTCCACCTGACCCTTTCCTTTTCCCCTCTTCCTGTGGCTTCTCCAATAAACTATATTCTTGCCAGCTGCTTCCTTGACTCTTTTTCTTTTCTTTTCTTGTTTAGAGAGAGAGGAAGGGAAGGAGAGAGGGAAACTTTGATTTCTTCCACTTAATCATGCATTCACTGGTCGAATCCTGTATGTGCCCTGATCAGGGATCAAACCTGTAACCTGCAACCTTGGTGTATCAGGATGATGCACTAAGCAATTGAGCTATCCATCCAGGGCTTGCTTCCCTGATCTTTGAAATGGATTCAGGGACATTTGTTTATTTTTTAAAAATATGTTTTTATTGATTTTTTAGAAAGATGAAGGGAAAGATAGAAACACTGATCGGCTACCTCCTACACACCCCCTACTAGGGATCAAGTGGCAACCTGGGCATGTGCCCTGACTAAGAATCGAACCAGGACCTCTCAGTCCATGGGACATTGCTCAATCCACTGAGCCACGCTGACCAGGCACATTCAGGGCCATTTGAAAACCTGTGTTCCTCAGGCATCCCCCACCCCTGGGTGCAGGAGGAGGTTGTATTGTCTGGGGAGATGAGGAAGGCCTCCAAACCCTGGACTATTTTAGGCACAGCTGTTTTTTTGTGTTTAATCCTCACTCACTCAAGAGAGAAAACATAATGTGAGAGAGAAACATCAATGAGTTGCCTTCCGACTGGGAATCAATCAAACCAGCAACCTTTTAGTACACAGAATGATGCTCAATCAACTGAGCCACTCTGGCCAGGCCAGGCCAGGCTAAGCACAGCTGTTTCCACTCATAAACTTAGGAAGTTCAAGGAGAGAAAACCCATCATGCTTTCTCCATCCACATGACTCTCTCATCTCTGGGGAGGGGGATAGTATAGGGCGGGTCTAGAGAGCTGGCCTACATCTTTCAGGCCTCTGCACCCCTCCCTTTCTGTCCATTGGGAGGCAGAAGACAGGAAATGACAGCCATGGATGTGGTATGATTTTTACCAAAACAGCATTTGGTAGCCCAGGCCCCATGCTGTCCACAGCTGTTTTCCTCTCTGACACCAGCCAGGTGGTCCCCTCCCCCAGGTCCCTTCTGGTCCCTTCACATGACTTCAGCCTTTGACTTCTCAACTCCTGGCCGCTTTCCACATTCCAGTCCCCTTTCAGAACCTGGGCATCCTGGCCCCCAGCCCAAACCACAGCATGTGCTTCCCCCCATCCCTGTGACTCAGGCCCTCTGAAGCGACTAGCCCTCTTGGCACTCACCAGAAAAGGGGGGCAAGGGGAGGGGGGCTAATTAGTGACATCACAGTTGAGGGATATAAAAGTTTCCAGCGAAAACAGAATTGAAATTGAAGACACAAAACCTGACCGCAGCCTGTGCTCCTGGAGACCGCTGGACCTGAAATCCTCAGAGGTCTGGTCAGAGATTCTCACCGCATCAAGGCCTGTGCACTGGTGAGGAGCTTCCCTGGGCCAGGAGGAGTCAGGGGTACGTGGGGACTCCTGTGACAGGTGGGGAGTGAGGTCCCTATTTCCCTCTTCTGTTCCATCTTTCCTTTTTCTTCCATCTTATTTCTGGGTGTTTACATGTGTTGTTGACTGATACTTGTTTTACTTAGATCTTTTCTGGGGGTATTTCGAGCCACCTTTCTTCCCTAAGCTAAGTAAATATTTTCTCCTGTTCTCCCCACAACCCCACAAGCACCTGGTTTATTCATTAACTGTTTCTAGTATTTCCTACCTTGCTGGTCACACATCTGTCTCCTATCCCACTATACATATATTCTTTCTTTCTTCTTTTTTTGCCAGAAATCAAGCTCATAGGCTGTTCAGAAATTGGTTGACAAATGAGCGTGTCTGTCTCATTCCCTCCTCTTTCTTGTTGGATAGGTTCCCAATGGTGTTTCCTTGTCCGCAGGGGTTTTGTTTAGGTGGGGGCCTGGACGGCTCGGAGGCTGAGCACCCTTTACTGATCCACTGCCTTCCTTCCAGACTCCATGCTACGCTCTCTCTGCCTTCTGAGGCTCCTGGTCGCCTTCTCCTTCATTTCCAGAGCGCAGCCCTTGGCCCCTCAAGACTTTGAAGAAGAGGAAGATGAGATACCTCGGTCACCTTTGCGTCCTGTCTTCTGCGACTACGACCGCTGCCGCCACCTGCAGGTTCCGTGCCTCGAGCTGCAGAGGGCGAGCCCGACCGCCTGCCTGTGCCCTGGGCTCTCCAGCCCCGCGCAGCCGCCCGCCCCGCCGCGCCTGGGGGAAGTGCGCGTGGCGGCCGAGGACAGCAGCGCGGCGGTGCACTGGTGCGCCCCCTCCTCCCCGGTGCACCAGTACTGGCTGCTGCTTTGGGAAGGCAGCGGGGCTCCCCAGAGGGGCCCCGCCCTCAACTCGACCGTCCGCAGAACCGAACTGAAGGGACTGAAGCCAGGGAGAGCTTATGTGGTTTGCGTGGTGGCCGCTAACGAGGCGGGAGAAAGCAGCGTGCCCGAGGCGGGTGGCGAGGGCTCCGAGGGCTCGGGCGGCCCTGCCTTCGGGCCGTGCGGCCGCATGGTCGTGCCCCCCCGGCCCCTCACTCTGCTCCACGCAGCCCTGGGCGTGGGCGCGGCGCTGGCACTGCTGAGCTGCGGCGCCCTGGTCTGGCACTTCTTCCTGCGCCAGCGCTGCGGCTGCCCCCGCCGCGCCCGCGCCCGCGCCCCACCTGCAGAGGGGCTCTGAAGCCGCCCGGGCGTCGGCGGCGCGGGCCCCACCCGACGAGCTCTGCCGGAGGCCCGGGCGCTGCTGCCCCGCAGCCCCGGGCCCCAGAGCCCGGCGTTCCCCGTGAGAGCTCGTGCGGGCCCCAGACTGTCTCCTCTGCTCCTGGCCGAGGTTGGGGAAGGAGTGGGAAAGGAGGGTCGGCAAAGTTGAAAGGACCAGATGGTGAATAATTTCGGTTCCAGAGGATAAAATCGAGGATATTATATAGGTACTTATGTAACCATGCAACTATTTATAAAACTGTAAAAACCATTCTTAGCTCATGGGCCTTACAAGTCAGGCCCGGGCCACATCTGGCCTGTGGGCTTGGGCTTTGCCACGGTGGGTGGCTTCAGTGGGGTTTTGAGGATAAGCTGCTGCAGGATGGAAGTTTGGGGCTACAGACCACTCCTCCTTCTGCCTTTTGTTCACATAGATAGATAGATAGATAGATAGATAGATAGATAGATAGATAGATTTTTTTAATTAAAAATTGTTTTTCTTTATTGATTTTAGAGAGGGGACAAGGGAGAAGGAGAGAAATAGGGACACTGATGAGAGAGAACATCCATTGGCAGCCTCCTGCGTGCCCTCAGTGGGGATCAGGCCCATAACCCCGGCATGTGCCCTGACCTGGTCACCTCTTGGTGCATGGGTTGATGCTCAACCACTGAGCCACAGCAGCTGGGCCTGCCTTTTGTTTAGATATTGAGTCTATGCACACCTTACCTGTGCCTGAGGCAGGTGGAAAATGGCTGGTAGGGTGGAGGAGAGAGGAACAGCCCAAACTGCTGTCTGGGTCAAGCTTGCCGGTTAAAAATAATAATAAAAATAAATAATAATAATATAGTACCGAGGGATTTCCTCCTTCCTCTAATTTGTGTTTATTGTTTATCCCCTGTAACAACATAAAAGGAAAACTTTAAAAAAAAATTCTCACTGGGCCCTGGTCAGTTTGGCTCAGCGGTTAGAGTGTCGGCTTGCGGTCCGGAGAGACCGCTAAGGGCATGTACCTCGGTTGCAGTTTGTCCCTGGCCCTGGTTGGGTCATGCGGGAGGCAGCCACTCGATGTGTCCCTTTCACGTTGATGTTTCTATCTGCCTCTCCCTTCCTCTCTCTCTAAAATCAATAAAGAAAAAAAATTAAAATTCTCACTGGAGCACATGCTTAGAGAGAGGAAGGGAAAAAGAGAGGGAGAGAGAAACATCAATGGGAGAGCATAATATCCATGAGCAGCCTCCTGCACTCCCCCCACAGGGGATCAAGCCTGAAACCCAGGCATGTGCCCTTGACCAGGAATCGAACTGGCAACCTTCTAGAGCACAAGATGATGCCCAACAATCTGAGCAACACTGGGCAGGGCCATTGGTTTATTCTTGCATGTCCAGGGATCGAAATCACAACCTTGGTGTACTGGGACGTAGCTCTCACCAACTGAGCTATCTGGCCAGGGCAGTAATACAAATAACTTCTTTTTTTATCCTCACCCGAGTACTTTTTTTTTTTTTTTTTTTTTTTTTGCACTTATCTTCAACTAGAGCGGGAAGGAGAGAGGGAGGAAGAGAGAGAGAGAAGCATCGATATGAGAGAGACACATCGACTGGTTGCCACCCACACAACCCAACCAGAGCCAGGGAAAAACTGCAACTGAGGCATGTGCCCTTAGCAGGAACCGAACATGGGTGTCTCCGGTCCGTGGGCCAACGCTCTAATTGCTGAGCCAAAGCAGCCAGGGCTTTACTTTGTTTCTTATGGACAATGTTCCTTGTTGGTAAATCATAGCCTCCTTAGTTGTGTTAAAGGATGGGTAACTTTCCATAGGAAGATTCTCCTTAACCAACAGTAGCCATTGCTCTTTGTTGGAATATTTAAGTTGTCTCCAGTTTTTGCTATGGACATCCTTGTTGTTTGTGTATCCTCACATGTTTGTGTATTTCTTTTTTTTATCCTCACCCAAGGACATTTTTCAATATTTTGTTCAGATAGATTGAGAGGGAGAGAGAGAGAGAAACATCGACGTGAAAAGGACACATCGAGTGGTCGCCACCTACACGACCCAACCAGGGCTGGGGACAAACTGCAACCAAGGTACATGCCCTTAGCGGAAACCGAACCTGGGTCTCTCCAGACCACAGGCCGACACTTTAACCGTTGAGCCAAACCGGCCAGGGTACATGTTTGTGTATTTCTCTAGAGTGCTTACCTGTAAGTAGGTAAAAAAAGGCAGTACTATATAATTTAATCTTTTGTTGTTGTTAATCCTCACCTGACGATATTTTTCCATTGATTTTTAGAAAGAGTGGGAGGGAGAAAGAGAGAGAAACATCAATATGAGAGAGACACATCAATTGGTTGCCTCCTGCACGATCCCCATTGGGCTGGGGATCAAACCTGCAACCCAGGTACATGCCCTTGACTAGAAATTGAACCTGCAGGGCTGACCGTCTAACCACTGAGCCAAACCAGCCAGGTCAATTTAATCTTTTTACTTTCTTTATTTTATAGAGAGAGGAAGGGAGAGAGAGATAGAAACATTGATGGAAGAGAACATCAACTGGCCACCTCCTGCATGACCCCCACTGGGAATTGGGCCCACAACCTGGGCATGTGCCCTGACCAGGAATCAAACTGGTGACCTCTTGGTGCATGGATCCATGCTCAACCACTGAGCCGGACAATTTAATCATTTCTTTATTACTGGACCTCTAGAATAAATTTAGAATATAGTTATTATCTAGAATACACTTATCACACTTCAGTGAATACTTTGTGCCTTTTTTTGCTTCCTTCATCCTCAGCATTTATCCATTTACAAATAATGAGGGCCAACTATCTCATTATTATTATTATTATTTTTAATCCTCACCCGAGGATATTTTTCTATTTATCTTCAGATAGAGTGGGAGAGAGAAACATCCACATGAGAGGGACACATAGACTGGTTGCCTCCCAAATGACCCCGACCAGGTCTGGGGATGAACCGCAACTGAGGAACGTGCCTTTGGCCAGAATCGAACCCTTGACTCATTGGTCCGCAGGCCAATGCTCTACCACTGAGCCAAACTGTCCGGGGCCAGCTATCGCATTATTAAAGACATGCTTACACAATACATTGTACAGATGATGTGTTATGGAATTGTGTACACGAAACCTATATAATTTTGTTAACCAGTGTCACCCCAATAAATTCAATAAAGGGGGAAAAAGGGCATATTTTACTTGCTTTCTCAATTTTCACAATCATTCCAAGAGATGGTGTCATCTTTTCTCGGATGAGAAATTTGAGGTTCTAAATGGTTTGAAGCTACATGTAGGAAGCTGAGTTAGGATCAAGTTTCCCAGCTCTAAGGCTGACACACTTCACTCCAGCATGGAAAAGCAACATAGCATAGTGGTTCAGTGAACACACACTGCATTCACTAAACTCACTAGGGTGTGAATCCTAGCTCTGCTGCATACCAGCTTTGTGAGCTTAGGTAAATTATCTGTGTCTGTTTCCTGTGACTAATAATGGTACCTATACCATATGGATTGTTGTAATGATTAAATATGCATATATATTAGTACATTTATCAGTAACTTATTGTTACTCTGCCTCCTAACAAGAGCCTAGGTAGTGGGGCTAAGTAATCAACAAGGACTACTAGGGGTATAAATGCATAATGGGGTAATTACTGTAGCTGGAAGGTGGAGCGAGGTGGGGTGGACAAAGCAAGCTTCCCTTGGTAGGCAATCCCAGGGAACCTTTGAAATCTTGCTCCATGTCATCAGTTTTGCTCAAATAAACTCATAAAGAATAAAATAAAAATAAAGAAAGCAAACCCAGAACCCAGTCCAAAAACTGACCGGGGTTAACCAAGCCCACAGAAGAGGCAGGACATTCCAGGCAGAGGGACTGGTAGGTGCAAAGGCTCGGAGAAGGGAGAGGCCAGTTTTGCAATACGCACAAGTTGCCCTCAAGCGGTGGGAGAGGAAAACTGCACACTGACTATTAACATTTACACAATACACTCTAGCCAGGCTCCTGAGGTAGGGTTATTGTTATCCTCATTTTACAGATGGGGCTCTAACAAATAAAGGGTGGGGGTGGGGCAGTAGGGGAAGCCAGACTATCAACATTTAAATTTCCTCCTAAATTGGAGATTTTCTTTTCTTTTTTTTTTTATCCTCACCCGAGGACATCTTTCCATTTTTTGTACAGATAGAGTGGGAGGGAGAGAGAGGAAGGAGAGAGAGAGAGAAACATCGACGTGAAGGGACACATCGAGTGGCTGTCACCCGCACGACCAACCAGGGCCGGGGACAAACTGCAACCGAAGTACGTGCCCTTAGCGGGAACCGAACCCGGGTCTCTCCGGACCGCAGGCCGACGCTCTAACCGCTGAGCCAAACTGGCCAGGGCCTAAATTGGAGATTTTCAACCTTTTTCATCTCATGGCACACATAAACGACTATAATTCTACAGCACACACACACACACACACACACATTTTTTTGGCCGATCTAACAAAAAAAAGGTATAATTTTTATTCATTCACACTGGACAGCTATTGGTGTGTTGGCTGTTGTCATTGTTTTTAAATTTTTTCTTTATTGATTTTTTTGAGAGAGAGATAGAAACATTGATGAGAGAGAACATCAATTGGCCGCCTCCTGCATGCCCCCCACTGGGGATCGGGCCCACAAACTGGGCCTGTGCCCTGACCAGGAATGGAACCAGCGACCTCTTGGTGCATGGGTCGATGCTCAACCACTGAGCCACACCAGCCGGGAGGCTGTTGTCATTTTTTTTTTAGACAGTGCAGGGAAGGGGGAAAGAGAGAGAGACACACACACATTGATATAAGAGTATGAGAGAGAGACATCTGTTGCCCAGCCCTGGGGCAGGGGATTGAACCAGCCGCCGAGGTCGAGGTACATGACCCTGACCGGGAATCAAACTCGCACTCCTCGGTCCCCGTGCAGAGGTCCTAACCGCTTAG